AAATTTTAAGACTTTGAGTAAAAAATATCAAGTCTTTTCAAGTAAACAGCTTCAAGTCGAGTCAAGTCCGAAGTCAATGGCATGAAAGTCAAAGTCAAGTCCGAGTCTTTGAGCATTTTTTCAAGTCAAGTCTCAAGTCGTGATTTTAACGACTCGAGTCTGACTCGAGTCCAAGTCATGTGACTCGAGTCCCCACCTCTGGCTAACACTAATGTCAGGATTGAGGTGTGCTAGCTATGGTCCCATGTACAATCTGAAGGTCTCCCACCTGTTTCTCAATGGGGGGGCTTATACAGGGACCTCCAGTAGCCTATTGGGGTAGCGCTGGTGTCAAGAAACTCAGTCCACTTTAACACCCTTACCCCTACCAGGGAGCGTAGATTCAGAACTTCGACACAAACACTTTACAAGACCCTTTCCAAGACTTTAAAACAGCCTATCTGTGAAGTTTGCAGTGAAAGCAGATAGATACCATAATTCAATTCAATTCAATTCAATTCAATTTTATTTATATAGCGCCACATCACAACAACAGTTGTCTCACAGCGCTTTCCAAACAGAGCAGGTCAGACCCTACTCTGAAGTTAACTACAGAAACCCAACAATTCCCACCATGAGCAAGCACTAGGCGACACAGGCAAGGAAAAACTTCCTTTTAACAGAACCATGGTTCAGGGTGGGCGGCCATACCATAAGAAACAAAGGTGCAAAACAACACAGCAAAGGACCAGTAAATATACATTTGCACACTTATTGTCATATTCTTGTATATTCACTCTTTAACCGCATACAATGAGTGCTGTTTCTAGCATTATAGATATCCCAACACAGAATAAATGATTGCTCAGTTATGGTATTTAGATATTCCACAAGTCCTCCTTCTACTCTGTACATCTCCCTTCTCTCTAATACAACATTTTTGACCATGTGTTTGAGGAAAAAAGCCATAAAACAAATGCCTTGCACATTGTTAGCAGTCGTTAGTAATGACTTTATGATTACATACCTTATAGAGCAACTCACATGACGTGAACTATAATGAATAAAACGGGAATATCCAGTAACTGGATGCTTTGTGTAGCAGTTTGCATATTAAATTGATGATGAAATGGCTTAATGTTGGGCTGCATGGTGGTGTATGTAAGAGGGTTCATGGTTTGAATGCTTTCTGTGTGGAGTTTGTAAGCTTTAAAAACATGAAAACATGCACATGAGGATCATATATTATTCTAAACATCCTATAGTAGTAGCCATAGGCAAAGAAATGAAAAATGGAAGTGATATGCACCACGAAATGGTCAAGTCAAAGCAAACATGCACTAACGATCAGCACTAAAAATCTAAAGGACTTTATCTTGCCTCTTGTTTTTCCTTTTTTTTCATTTTCTTTTTGAAACGTCTAAATCCTATCCTTGACACTGTTACCCTTTTTTTCTCTGTAACCAATCCCAGCCCAGTTCCACAAACCTCGTCGGGTCAAAGGTGTCTGTTTAAGCCGTGGCCTCTTTATGTGTGTGCCCGCGTGTTTGGGAGGGTTTTGGTACATTAAGAGAGTTTTTTATTGTTTTATTGTTCGGTCGGCTCAGAATGTCTAAAGGTTGGCTCCATAAAATGTGTCCCAACCTGAATTTTGTACTCTGGGCATAGTGACCCTCCCTTAAAGATACACCTGAAAGACCCCCTATATCAAATAACAGGAAATAGTAGGGCATCCTAAAGTATAAAAAATATGTATGTATCTATTCTATACATATATATACAAAAATATACATTATATTTATACATATATCTCTATATATGTATCTCACTAAAGCGTTAATGCATTTCTATTTGATTGTAATTTCTTGGTGTCAAAACTAAAATAAGATTAGCAGAAAAACTCACTGAGGCGGTTTGTTTTATGAACCACAGTCCTTGGTCTTGTGTGTCAGACACACAGGTGGGAGGTACCAGAAAAACTGTAACCTTGGCTGTTTGCGTGTGTGTTTGTGTGTGTGTGTGTGTGTGTGTGTGTGTGTGTGTGTATGTGTGTGTGTGTGACAGGCATTTAACTAGCCTTGAGGCTTTATTTATC